CACACACACACACACACACACACACACACACACACACACACACACACGAAGGCCTCCTAGTTGCTCCAGCAGCTTTCAGATGGAACGCCGTGAGCCTGCAAACTATAACGAGAGGAATGAGCAGACCAAGGCACGTGAAAGTAAATTGATTTACTGCTTGTCTATTGATTGTGTGCAGTTGCACACGTGTGGTCTTTGCACAGCCTACAGTGCAATATGGACTCTAATAAGGAGCTGGCACAAATGCTGTCGTATTCATAGCACTGCACAGTGCACACATGTCCGTGTAATTCCGCACAGATCCGAGCAAATATCCTGGAAGATTAACTGACTGGAGCAACACTGACGGCGCGGGATCATCAAGTGACTGTGTGTGTGTTCTGCACAAACACAACCCCAACAGCTAAATGATTGATGAGTGCGTGTGATGAGTGATTAATGAGCTAGAAATGCTAAAGTGATTACTGATCGGCCTCTGGACTCCTGATGTATTAAAGAATCTGGAGGTTTTCTGTCAGGGAATCAAAAGAACACAGAGAACGGCACCCTTTTTACTGTTGTTCCATTTTCCAATGAGATCTGGTCCAGGAGTGTGGTCTAAATAATTAATATATATATATATACTGTATATATATACTGTATATATACTGTATATATATATATATATATATATATATATAGCTGGTAGAGCCTGACGGGCTTTTTTGTTTACTATAATTATGCTGTCATCTCAAAATCAGTCTACGGTGATGTTGAAATTACACATATCACCTTTAAGTTCACAAGATCTGCGTTGGTCTTCTCTACAAGAAACACTTAAGTTGATACCCTCTTTACTGAGGCGGGTTTGCATGAGATTGACAATGCTCTTTAAGTGCCTTGCTCAAGAACACTTTCACCTCAGTAATTTGGGAAGAGAATAAGTCACACAGTTTGGTCAAGAGGATCCTCCAGGGGGACCAACAAACCATCGCCACTCCACCATACAGCATCAGAGAGCAGTTAGCCTGCCTTTTCTACACTCCCCTATGAGTATGTGTGTGTGTGTGTGTGTGTGTGTGTGTGTGTGTTATTGTGACCATGTGATTGTCTGAGATACCAGCTTCAACCTTTGTGCAAGCAAACACGAGTTCTGTCATGTGTGTCTCACACACACACACACACACACACACAAAAGCAGCAAAGTAGGACACTGAGCCAGTGGGTGTGAAACTGATAACCCCATGATGCATCAGGGTGCATCTCTGTCCTTCTTGCTTTCCCTCTTTTCTGCATCTTTTGATCCCTTTGATTATTCCGTCACTCTTTCTGTATTCACATCCCATCTGCCCGTGCGTGTGATCAAGAGCTTGTGGAGAGCTAACGTGTCCAGCTGACAGTTTGAAGAGACAAGAAGCTAGCGATGAATAAATAAAAACAACTCAAACATTAAGCCCATGGATTCCAGTCAACATAGCCTCTGTGATCTCTTCACGCTTTTCCAAAGTGATCACATGTGTTTATTTATCAGCGACTGGCTTGTGGTCAATGCTGCAGCAGCACTATCATTCACCCACCCAGGACTCTAACTAACAGTCTTGCCCAAGGACACATCGACATGGACTAGTGGAGCCGGGGATCGAACCGCCGATCTTCCACAGACCCACAGTCGCCCCCTTAAACATGACGACGTACTAAGTAGATAGTTCAGTATGAACTGGAGACACTGAGAGCTACATTATTTTACAGTATTCACCATAACCTTTGTGATATGAGTAATTATACAAGTATAAAATAGAGAAATTAAATGAAAATAAAATCGTGTGTAGTGTACGCATTTCTGCAGTTCTTGGTTATTTCAATATCTTGGTCCTAAAAGAAAATGTAATAAATGTATTATTCAATTTTGTCCAAGGCTACCCATCTATTTCTAGATATGATTTAATATAGAGTTATATAACTGTTTCCAAGATGGCAGCAAACCATTTGATTAAAATCACCCTCACACTGTATCACCGTGTTTACAAACTACAGTGAAATTGAATCCATACCTTTGCTGCAAACCCCGGCATTAATATTGTAATACTGACAACAGGAGGGACTATATCACTACGCCAGGATCCTCTTTACATGCAGCAACAGTCATGTGTGTGTGTGTGTGTGTGTGTGTGTCTGAGTGTTCGACGTACAGTGTGCAATGATGAAATAGCCAGCGGGAATAGCCAACTTAAATGAAATTAAATTAATACTCGAGAATTAATTAGATGCTTTAAATTTGAACCCTGGTGGTCCTTGATTATGTGCGCTTCAAGCTGAGCAGCGGCCCGCTGGGCTCCGCATGTGATCCCTGCACACACATTAGTTGCGGGGGGGGGAGGATGCGAGGAACATGTTGAGGTGAGAAAGAGGACATTCAGAGTTGTCCATTTTGTCTCATTATGGTCCCAAATCACTTTTTATTTCCTTAATCAAAGTTAAACGGGGAAAACAAGTCTTCCTGTTGACGGAGGTGAAAGTACTGAATTAATCTCACTTCGCTAAGGAGGTTGATTTAATGTTGCATTTGAATTTCTGAATGTTGATTGGAAGTTATTCCTGATCAGTGACAAATTATTAATTTATTCTGCTGCTGTTGTACAAGTCCATCACCAAAGTCACAGAGACAAAGAGGCTCGAAACTCCAAAGTACCGTGAGAGTGATCGACAGAAGTAGACGGAGGGAGGAGTGCAGATGAAATGAAACAATCAGACAGAGATGTTTACCATTGTGTGTGTGTGTGTGTGTGGGTGTGTGTGTGTGTGGAGGGGTGTGTGGGTGCAGGTGTGCTACTTGTAGGTGGATACTGTGATGTTCAATAATGCATCAGGTGCCTCTGCAACAGATTCATTAGTTGCGTGTAGGTGTGTGTGTGTGTTTGTGTGTGTTTGTGTGCGCTCACCTGTGGGCGGATGACTCTCTCAATGTTCTTCAGGGCAGTGTCGGGGGACGGGGGGGAGCAGTCTGGAGTGGGTCCCGTCGAACAGTTGCCGTGGTTACCGTACTCCCCCTCACTCACAGTTACATGGGACAGGTGACCTTGGAGGGAGGGAGAGAGAGGTGGAGGGAGAGAGAGAGAGAGAGGGAGGTGGAGGGAGGGTGAGATTTGTTTTGTTTTTTCTCCTTACAGTATTGTGTTTTGTTATGTACACTAGACACGGAGCCGTTGGGACTTCATGATAATGGCGGGACCAGACTGCACGCCACTTATTTCTTTCAAGATGGTCAATATGTCTTATTGAGTGACAATAGTCCTGCCATGCCCTGGCAGAGAGACAGATTAGATGTTTTTTCCAGGCATCTCAAAACAACTGAAGTAGCTGGAAACCTGTTTTTGAGTTCCCAAAAAAGGCACAAACGCGTTGATAACTCTAAAGAGCGTGGGCAGCATAGTGCCAGTTCTGAAGCTCCTCTGCTTCGTCCTCCATCCTAATTATCTTTTTGAAACTTTTCCCGGTCGCTTCAGTTATGAAGGGAGAAGATTTAGGCTTACTGTAGAGCTGCACCAACTTTTATGTCACACTGGCATGAAGAGGAGCTCTTCACTGCAATCTTGGGCAAAGCGAGGAATGAAAAGAGGGTTCAGCTCAACACCTAATGTGTCGCCCACCTAAGAGCGCAATCACAGAGACGTGTTGGCATGGGAGAGAGGCGGCGAGAGCCTATTTTTTTTCTAAATTGACGAGCGTCTGCAGCAACGATGTCTGTCTCGAGTGTGCGTGTGCGGCTGAGTACAGAGCCAAGTGTCGCAGATAATTTCCCCAGCATTTAACCCCAGATCCCCAGATCATTTAACAGAGTTCAAAAAACACAAGAAGAAGAAAAGAAAGGAGAGAGAAGTGCTGAAGTAGCCCCGAATTTAATTTCAGAGGGACAGAGCATCTCTCTTAATCAACCGGAGGAGACACGAAACACAGAGCAACACACCTTTCCTGAAATACTGTTGTCAATGTTGACTCACAGACACACACACACACACACACACACACACAACAGAGACTTTCTGTCAGCTGCCGACTGCCTATCAGACGGCAGAATATCACCCAATTATGGTGAGACCCAGCCAGGACTTTTAACACACACACACACACACACACACACACAGGATGACATCGCTACCAGTAACAGTATATTCATACATTTATTGAAGAGGGATTGTTGCTTAAATACAGCATATGAATGATCCATCATCAATCTCAAACTGGAAATGACAACAGAGTTCCTTGTTGTTTTAACTGTTAATGTAGTTGAAGGTGTGAGTTTTCACAACTCCCACAAATCTTCTTCACCTAATCAAGAAGAACAAAGCCACACAGGGGGAAAGCTTTGCGGCGGTTTATGATGTTTTTGGATAATGACAAAAATAATGCTAGTTTTCGGGTATATTTAAGGGGAGCACCTTTACGTTTCATTTGCCGGGATCTTTAGGAATGCTGAGGACGATGTTCAGTGGATGAACTCTACAAGTGGAGCCTTTGGCCAAAAAGACGTGTTTCATGAGGTCACAGTGACATTTGAGCACCAAATTATAATAAGTTCAACTTTGAGTCCAGGCAGACATTCTGAATCGAATTTAAAGAAACTCACTCAAGGCGTTGGTGAGATGTTACGTTCACGTGAATGGACCGGACGCAGAGGCATGAAACAGGATCGCAGCACCAAACTAAGGTTTCTAATAATCTCCAAATCCCCCTTAACAACATCAAAGACACTCCTCCGCTCTTGCTGTGTCGTGCTATAGCTGACACGACTCTTTTAACGACTTTCTTGATCATCTGCTCATTTGTGGTTGGGGATCATTACGTCTGAAATACGAAAGAGATGACTGGAAAATTAAAGAACTGCCGCTTTGTTGCCTCGACTCTCTCCAAGAAACCGAGGTTGCTTTGCTCTCTGGTCCGCAGCATTAGGACAACTGGCTTTGAGGTATGCGTATGTAATCAACGCTAGGCTCGATCTCAGCTGAGCTTTGAATATTTCAATATCGTTAGACTTAGTGGAAGGACATTGAAAGATACGATGTCTGAGATATGAGATCTGACGAATTTCTTCAATAAAGGGAATGAAATACAATAAACAAATTCATGCAGAAAAAAACTGCAGCAAGAGCGGCATTCTTTTGGCAACAGAAAGGATTGTGTAATCAAAACCTTGAGAAAAGAATAGCAATACAATGCACTAGGATGAGAGAGAGAGAGAGAGAAGACCCAGGTTTGCCAAGAGGCATGCCTCGAGAAGCACATTTACAGACACAACTCACAGTCTAGAAACAAACTTCAATTGCTAAAAATGAGCCCCACAAAACTTCATTAAAGCCTCCCATTCCTTTGGCAGAAGTTCCTTTCTCTGAAACAATAACTTCATCTGTTTAAATTCACACAGCTCAATCATGAAGGTGGTGAAACACTCAAAGCGGCTGCTCCCGCATCAGAACTTGCCACCATCTTCCATCATGTTTATTTTGAATTTCTGGCTGCAGACACACAATCTCATACACACACACACACACACACACACACACCAGTCCTTCAGGGAACGTGACACTGCTTCACAGCACATCTATCTGTCTTAATGTGCATGCGTGCATGCATGTGCAAACACAGACAGAGGTCCCTAGATTTGACTTAGGGTTGTGCAAGTATATACAGCTGCAGACAGACACACACACACACACACACACACACACACACAGACACACATTATAAAGAGCAGCCTGAAGCTGAATCAGTGATTGAATGTGGGCGTAAATAGATAAAACAAAAACAGGAAAAAAGAGAGGAGGAGAGAGGAAAGGAAGGATGCGACAAGGAGATATATATAGATAGAAATTGAGGTTTTGTCCTATTGAGTAAATAAGCCTGTCAACACTGAGGCTTTGATGATGGATGTGAAATGTGTGTGTGCGTGTGCGTGTGTGTGTGTGTGTGAGAGACGGTGCTTCCTTCAGATCTGCATTGAGCTCACTCCTGGGAAACACTCTCAGCCCTCCTTGCCAAGGGGGATACGTGTTTGTGGATAAGCATGCGCATAAATGTGCATATACATAACACGTGCATGAGAGTGTAGATAACTGCAGGGTATCCTACCTAAACTGTTTACATCCATATGTTCAGGTTCTTGTGTGTGTGTGTGTGTGTGTGTGTGTGTGTGTGTGTGTGTGTGTGTGTGAGCACAGCCTCTGGGAAAATGTGAAACTTTGAAATGCTTTAAGAGGTTTCACAGGTTTCAGATATTCTTTGCGTGCCAAGCGTACAGAGTACAGCATGTGTGTCCGGTACAAAGTATGATACAGAGACGTAGACAAACGTGTTTTTTGTGTACATTGGAGAGCAGCTGCACATGCTTGTTATTGCAGGAATGCAGCAGTGTGTACAGGAGGACTGTGTCTAAGTGAAGGCATGGCGTGAGCAAGCGTTCAAATCGGCTGTCCTCTTCCCACCAGCCTAACAAGACAGAAACTGTCAACTTCAGACGTGTTCTTCAGGCTGTCAGTTCTGCCTCTATGCCGCTCTGACAAGTAGCCTTTCATATACTGTGTGTGTGTGTGTGTGTGTGTGTGTGCCATCAAATATTTTAAAATTACAGTTTAGCTCGTAACAAATACAAAGTACAGATAAACTTTTAAAAACTATGATTCTATAGACATGATGAAGATATAATAAACAGAATGAAGCACTAATAATCTAAACAAAATGAAATAATCTTTACGCTAACAAGAATGAAAAACTATATTGTGCTTTGAGACAACAGACAACAGCCAAATCAATGAGGAGACAAGGGAGTTGCAATATAAAACAAAAAATTACATTTTAACAAAAATTGCCCTCCTGCATTGTTATGTAATGTCTTTTTTTAAAGGCTAAGGTTTCTAATATTCTAGATTTCTGTTATTGTCAAAAGATCCCAAAGACCAAAACCAACAGTGAATCGAAAGCCAAAGCCTGATATCTCATATTCCTCTGTGCCGTAGGCTTTCATTGAGCTCCAGCCAAAAACACTTCAATGAACCACATCGTCGCACTGGGTGATATGTTCCTTCATCACGACCTTCATTCATTCACTGATGCTGTGAATATTCGATAGAACACCAAATCCGCAGCTGAAAATAATCCCCCCCCAAAAATGCCCCATTTACTCCTGCCGAAGTGATGTTTGTTAAAAACTACAATGAGATGTTTGAGTGTTTTTTTTCTCAAGTTCCAAGCATTGTTTTCTCCCGGCTGTCAAAGAGCAAGATGCTCCATTTCCTCCTTTTCGACAAGTCAATGGGCCTCGACCCATTTAATGGTGAAGCCCTGGAGTTACCACTTGCTGCCATTAGCCACTCTAAGAATAAGTGGGATAAATGGAGTGAGATTGCAGCGACATCACTTCTTTATCCACCAGAGAGAACTGAGGGTGGAAGTTCATATGAGAGGGACGGTGACACACAAAAGACAGACGTTTTTAATTCATAAACCTTCCAGGTCGCAGATCTGCGGTGTGCAGACCTGTGACTGGCCACACACACGGACACGCACAGGTTTGTAGCTTCATGTTGTTCACGTCAGCAGTGTCTTGTTTACCTCTCGCAGACAAGTGTGGGTTTATCTCGAGGGGAGTCAGTCGATACCACAAAAGAGGCACTTTTGCTCGAACCGCCTGGCAACACTAAGCTCTCTGCCTGCTCCGGACGTGACTGGAGCCTGCAGGCCTCTCTCCTCACCACTCCGCCACCTGTCTTCCAATCTTCCAGGAAAACATTTCACCTGCAATGCTTTCGCGTTGCTGAAATCTGGCTGTCGGCACCGCGATCCTGCGGTGCAAAAAACTATAGCTGATCTACTGTATTCCAGCACACACTTCAGAATCACAGATAAGAGCTATTTGTAAGGAAGGATTTTGATTCCAATAGAGAACAATTGGAATGTCCTGCTATCTCCAAATATCGAGCAATGGAGAGGAAACGTTAAGCTGTCATTGAGAAGATCTCTGCAACACTTGCCAAGACCCGCAGCAGAAATGGATTCCCTCATTTGTAACAAAGGAAATTCCACCAGAAAGGAATCCATCTACTACAAGAAGTATAATCTTGAGTTAATGTACAAAATGACTGCCTTAGGACTCGTTGAGTACTGGGATTATACACATAAATCTGCACTCAGCAGACTTTGAATTACAAAGAAGAAAATTCCATTTATTCACTGTCAGAGGACACATGGTGCGATGGGATATCGTGCATAACATCCCATGTCATCTTTCATGAACTCAACGGCGTCAGAGATAGGACGGTGCTTCCAACAGGTTATGGAAAATCTCACAGACAAAAAGAAACAAAAGGGAAAAGACTGATAAAAAGTAAAAAGAGAGGGACAGAGAGATATCCAAGAAGCAGGGACAGAGCAAAAAAAGCAGTTGTTTGCAGTGACAACAGGTCCCTGGTGTTTCTGTAGCGGCCGGGCTGAGTGACAGTCATCAGATGGATTCCGATAAAGCCGCCTTGATTATCTGAGGCTTCGGAGTGTCTCCGTCGCCTCCACTGTGAGACTGCAGCAGCCCACAGCTGCAACCAGCCAGCAGCACAGGACATGTGGATATCAAGCAGGGCTTACACTGCAAAACACATATCGTTTAGACAGCCCACTTACGAGACAAATTATGCTGAGGTGAGTTTAACACGCAGCTCATTTGTTCCCGAAAAACTTCTCGAGATAGTTTGGTGGATTATGATGATCGTGCTCATCATAATCAGCTGATCCTCTGATGGAAACTTTTGGGGCTGGGGACAGAGGACTTGTTTAGCCTCAGATTAGAAAAAGTCTCATTTTGTTTAACTTTCTTATTTGTACATCATTTGGTCGTCATCTTAAAAAAAATGTCATAATAAAGTAGTTAGGTGCTGGGGACAACAAGAGCTCAGAATTCCCTTTAAGTCATTAAATGAATATTCTCAAAGATTTTCATTTAAGTAAATGTCTGAATGAGGCGACACAATGGTGAGAGGGAAGGGGAAATGTATATGCATTCAATTATTTTATTCTACTTCCACAATAAAACGTCTGCCAACAGGAACATTTTTAAAACTCAATCACAGAGCAGTTGATTTGTTGAGAAGGTTAATTTTTTGCAGTGTAATGCACCAAGTCTCTCTCTCTCTCTTCCCTTTTCTCTCATCTCAATCCCTCTCTCCCCACGTTCCCTCATCATCATATGCCTCCTCTCAGAGGCAGACTAAGGCAGATTGACTCACACCCATGTCCAATTAGGGCGACATGTGACCGGACGGGAAGCCGGAACCCAGGATTTTCTCTCCTGCTGTTTCACATTCGCGTAGCTTAGCCTGAGACGACCCTCCGACTTCCTCCACTGAATGTATAATCTTCCCCCTCTCCGTCTCACACTCCTTCTCATCCTTCCTTATGGTCCGTCTCTCAGCAACAAGACAGAACTCTGCAGCCTGCGGGAAGTTCTGCATTTGTAGTCATTTTTCAGCAATAACATGGAAATGTAAGGTGTTCTCCCTCCCTCACCTCTTCCGTCGCCTCTGACTTTTGCTTTTCTGACTTTTTTTTTTGTTGCTTTCCCACATTACATGTCTATGTCTCTCTCTCTCATTTGGCCAGGTAACAGCGTTCAGAGAGCTGAGAACAAACACAACACCCACACTGCTCACTTACGTCAGTGGAGCAATTTTCTAGAAAAAGACACTTTGACATAAAGCAGCTAACCTCCCAGCTCACACACAAACACACTCACACACACAAACACACTCACACACACACACACACACACACAACACTGCATATGGACAGTTCAACTCCTTTCACCTGCAGCCAATCACAGACCAGATGTAACAGGCAAGCACACACACGTAAACACGCACACACAAAACAAGTCTCTCGTTCCGCTACTGTCCAAGAAGGCGTGTGTGTGTGTGTGTGTGTGTGGGGGGGTCACTAGTGAGGCAGTTCCCATGGCAACATACAGGTGACTCACCAGCTGGTGATGCAGTTGCCGTGACAACCTGCAGTGTGTAGCATCGCTATGGGAGCAACTGAGTTGAAGGGAGGAGCACATTATGGGTTGTTTGTTGTCGTGGGTGTCGAAGTAAACCGGACAACTGACAAGACACAGAAAACAGAGTCGACTGGAAGGTCCGACGCTGGACGATCAACTCACACTGGGTTTCCAAAAGTGATAATATGTCAATGTTCATGCAGACGTTTCAGGTGTCTGTCTCACAAGAGAACAACACTGGTTCAGCGTTGCACTTCTACAACTGTGCCATACTCTCAACAAGCATTCAGAACCACAGATAATAGTCTTTTATTGCATTTTGTAGTCTTTGTCCTCGTTAAACCTGGCAATGCTACTTGACCGCAGACCTTTAGGCCGGACTTTCAGGTGTGTTATGCTAGAAGCGGCATATGTAGCCTCAAGCAGAGATGAACCGCTGAACTACAGAAGTCTGGTAAAGATCACTTCTTTCAAACTAACTCAAAACTTGTAATCTTCAGATCCATCCAACGCTGAATCAAGTGACTCGAGGCAACTTATCAGTCTTCACACAGCTGGGGCTGATCTGGTCAGGACTAACATCTGATCTGTGCATGCAATATTAAAATCACCCTGACCCTCCACTAAAGAAATAAATCCCATCCGAACAGAGCTATAGGCATAATTTCAACAATGTATCCCAAACAGCATTGCTCTCACGCTCACCCACATTTTCCACACCTGTTTACTGCTATGAAGCTCGTGTTAGTGTTGAATAAACGATGGTGGTTCACGTCTTCCACTAAAGTTGTGATCATCACAACAGCGGGATGTTCATATGGATGCTGGCTTGTGAACATACTGGAAGGCACCATATGCTCCACTGTCGAATCTTTGTAAGCAAACTTTTTAAAGGACCGTAAACAACGAGTGCCCAAAGATATAAATATGGTAAATGGAAAAGAGAGAGTGTAGGTTTCTGTGTTGTCCTACCATTGCGTGGACAGGCGTTGAGCCGGTAATTGATATCTAGGGAACAGGGTTTCCGCGTGACGGCTGTGGTCACAGACTCGTAAGGATTGTCCTCGTCCTCTGGCAGGAACACATCCAGAGACGGAGAGGTGACGATCTCTGCTGAACGCTTTGAATCCTGGGAGAGGGGCAGAGAGGAAAAACAGAGGAAGAGAAATGTGAGGGCAATTCGTTGTGAGTGTGCACAGTTCGATGGCAAAAGGAGTTCCAAACCACGAGTGTATACTGTATTTAGAAAATCGGTTTGTGACTACGGTTTTCAAGCCTCGAGTTTGGCCATCTTGGGTTTTTGGAACCAGAAGTGACATGAGAGGGTGGAGCCAAGAACATACCTAACACTGAATAAGACATTTTTAATCCACCAAAATGTTGCAATTAACTTTCATGAACTGAAAACACTCTGTGAAAGAGTTCAAAAAGGCCACGCTTACTCTGCTTTATGGTCTATTTTGCTCTAAATGGATCATAATTCACTAAATGAACATCATGCTGTATCAAAGAAGACTTGAAACTAGCGATTGACACCATGTTTACTGAGCTAAACACAAACACACCACTAATTCAATTATGAATTATGCACTACAGCCATACTGGCCTATTATCCCGTCCAACAGAAGGTGGTACAGACCATGTATTGTGTTGATAGTCTTTAGAAAGCAAAGTGAAGAGCCCTCTCAGTGAGTACAGATGCAGACTGTTAGACCAGAGAGTCATTTCCATTGTATGAGCTGTGTGTGATAGACAGAAACACACAGCAATACAAAACAGATGAATAGAGCAGAAAAGAGGTGTTTGATGTGGGCTTTTTGAAATGAGTGGTAAACAGTGTCAGTCCACGGCCAAAGGTGTGCATTTGTTTTGTTCACCTTTGCCTGAGAATCCCCTAAAGAAACAAAAAGAAAACAACCAAACACATCAGCTCAGTAATCTCTCAGTTCAGCTCGAGGCCATTATTCAAGTGCAACCACGTTCACGCAGTTGGATTATCATGAAAGATTTAGGCCAATGTTCAAAGCAAAGCACTGAAAGTGAAGAGATGGAAAGTAAAGAGTCTGAATCTTTCTTTCTTCTTTTCAATCCTGGAGAGTTTTAGAGGAGAACACCTTGACTGTCCCTTCAGGACTTTGGGGTTTTGTTCTCCGTGATAACTGTGATCAATGAGGTTTCTCAAAAGAAAAATAACAGCAGTCTCAAGTTCTCAACATTCATCTGCTGTGAAATTGATTGACTGGCAAAGATCAGGGTAAGTCACAGGCTATCTATCTCGTGTGGATTTGTGAGGGAAAATCAGTCCGTCATTTGTAGACTTAAGGGTTTAATGTGGTGAATGTGCAAGAACATGTCTACGCTGCAAAAAGGTTGTATTTTCTAGAAACCTAGAACGGCTTATCTACAGTCTATTAGCTCTCTAACTGATGAAAGGTGACTGTTGTTGGAGTGCAATAGCTTCAGGGTCTCATCACATGGTGGAAATAAATCAAAATGAAAACACCAAAACAACTGCTGAGGAACAGAGCCCAACATTCTCTCAAACACAACAACAGAAAGTCTTCATAAACCCATCAAAACACAGTTATTTTGTCTCAAACTGTAAAACGTAGACGAATCATTCCACTTTTTGTGAAACATTCAAGCATCGTCTCAAAGCAGCCGGACAGAAAAAGACCTGCAAGCAGGTGTGCTTTGGGTCCGAGCACCCGACCAATCTCAGAACCAAAGACGTAACGAAGGCGTCCAGATAAGGTGTAATAATAACACTTATTTTACATGCAAAACATTTCTCCCATTTCTATTGAATTGTAGTTAAAGTATGCTTCTCTGCGGTACACTTAAAACCCAAATAAGCCTCCATCTACTCTCACTGCACTACAGTACCTTTTGAGCCAACAGTAATGTCATGCGGTTGAGTGACAGCTGGAAGGTCTTGTTCCTATGCTTCACTGAATTTTAGTTGAGTGCTGTGTCTCAAAAATAGAACACATGGTAATCATATTCTCTGTGCATCTATTCGTCGGCAAAATCATCTGCACCATCCACCTCAGCGTGATCCTCAACAGCCACCGACAGATCCTTCAGATTTGATCTGCAGCTTCACCAACAACTGCAGGTCCAAGCTCCTCTAATCCCGACTGCTGCAACTCCGTCTTGTTGTCCATCCTTTGCGAACGTCATCCCACTGTTTCCCCTGACATTTCACATCTCTCTCTTAACAGTCTTGTAAATAATAAAAAACATATAATCTGTAAATGATTTATTATGAATAATATATATTTTTAAAGAGGCCTCCATTCAGCACTCATTAAAAAAGTGCTTTAAATTCCAACACACACACACACACACACACACACACACACACACACACACACACAAGCACTTGTCGCTCTTAAAGTGTGTTATTAGAGTTTTAATAGGAAGGATGCCCTTGCTTTAATTTTCTTAATTAATGCTGTTTGTGAAGCTTATTGTAAGTCTCCCTCTATACGAGTATCTGCCAAATGCCTAAATTGTAATTTGCATCCTAAATGAATTACTTCAATGATTTTTTTTTTTTTACCAAAAGGGACTTGCAGCATTTTGAAAAGAGCTCTTCATTTAGAGGTGGTTAATTAAGAGCAGCATGTAAGGAAACGTTTCTCCGGGACCTTCATATAACTGGGTATTGAAGGAGGATTTCGGATTGCATTTGGCTGCAGCATTGGTGAAAAAGGTTTAGCCTCAAAGGGCTTAGAGAGAGAGAGAGAGAGAGAGAGAGAGAGAGAGAGAGAGAGAGAGACAGACAGACAGACAGACAGACAGAGAGAGAGAGAGAGAGAGAGAGCTGAGAACCAAAAGGTCCCTTATCTCCGAGGCAGACGTGTACTCAGAAAGAATGAAAAACAAGAGTGAGTGATGTGAAGCAGGGGAAAAGGTTACAGGGGCGAGCGTCATTTCAGCCAAAGAGACAAAACATTTCTTTCCAGCGATGCAGCCGCTGGATGTCTGCCTTCTCCCCATTCCGCCAAACTCTATCACCATTTCTGAAGTGTCACTTGGCAGCCTGCCCCTGGTTGTACCCTCTCTAATGGGATCAGCGGTAAACTTTGTAGGTGTGCCTACAACCTTGCGCCGCATACGTCTCTCGATTCCTCTGACTCTTTCTTTTCCCCACCTTCACCCTTTCCCAGCCTCATCCGCTACTACATTACCCAGACTGCACCAGGTCATCAATCACACGCTGAGCACACTCAAAGTCTGGCTGACAGAGCAATCAGTCCCTATAGATGATTTCTCTCACTAACAGTCTACAGTCAATCTGAGACTTATTTCACATTGCACTTTATTAAAAGTCCTACAAACTATACACACACACCCCTCTACTATCTCCATCAGCACTCAATTAGACTGCCATTCCCAGCTAATGGAGACCCAGTCACCAGTCAGTCCTTTATGCCCGCACTCTGCAGGTGACCAGGCCTCAGCAGATACTGATTCGAAGCGACAACCTGGTTTGCTGCGGATTTCCCTCACAAAGCTGAAGGAAAGGCTGAGAGCACTCACCGCTCCTGCAGAGAAAAAAACCCTCATCTGACAGCTCACATCAAAGGTGCAATTAATCATCGTCACATTCATTTTGAGCGTTTACCAAATTGTGAATTCAAAAAAAAGCAAGAGGTGGCCTCGACGAACCGCTGAACTGCGTCTCATACAGAGTGTTTACATGCACTTATGTGGCCTTGTTACGCTTGGCTTTCTGCAGCATCCTGGCTTCTTAACAGCTATGTAAACCAGAGACCAGGTTTTTTTTTTAATTGGGGTAGCTGAGCAGAAAAACCAGGTATACTAATCAGCCTTATATATGCATGTGCATGACACAAGATGTCACACAGGGAAACATCACTGTCTGACATCCTCCAGAGTTCTTCATAGGGTAAGGTTTAGGCAACAAGTACTTCAGCTAAGGTTAGGAAAAATGTGGTTTGACTTCAATATTTATGTCCTGTCTCCCACGTCTACTATTTTGATGCTTAGCCCAGACCACAAACATTCCCTAACCTAAAAAGAAAAGCTGTCTAAAGGATTAAACATATTCATCACAAACAAATCCTGCTCTACTTGCTGCTAGCAGAAATTGTCGGAAAGATGAATTAAACAATAGTAAAAATAGTAAGAAATAGTCAATGAAACATTCGGTATCATCACTCTGCAACTTGGCAGATACAAGAATCCTTTCCTCACAGTATTGATACAAAACTTTGCATTAGTTGTACATAATCAGAATTACTGGGAAACAGGGACGCTATGACAGCAACATCCTCGTATTCAAAACAATTCTAAATCTGACTCAGACTGAAACCATTTGTTCTTCAGAGCAAATCAAGATAAAATGTCACAGTTACTGGAAGTGAGATTCAAATCCGAACAGAGACAAAGAGAAGCCATTGTCTTTGGGAACAGGAAGTGACAGGATTACTGGGAAATGTGCAGTCACTCCTTGTATGAAAACATAACACCAGCTCTAATATTTCTGATGAAACAGAGCTGTGAGATTGAGGCTATCAAACAGTCTCATTTGTTTACAGTAATTACCGAGATGTCACCATGAATTAACAATGAAATACGGAAGTTCTGAAATGACACAGGTGGAGTAGCATCATTAATGGATGCACTGAAGACAAAACATGAGACGAGCTCCGAGACGAGAGTGAGCTCAGGGACGACATTCCTCTGTAGGGAGACATGAAGCGAAAAAGCAGAGAGCGAGAAGAGATAGGAGGCAGGAAATGATTGAGAAATGATCTTTAAAAGGAAGGAGATGTGAGGAATCGCCCACCACGTGCTCCGTCTACTCTTCCCCACCTCTTATCTCTCTCTCCATCTTACACTTCTACATCATCTCTCATTATTCCTGTTACTCTACATCTCCGACATAATGAGAAGGAGCGAGGCCACAGCTGACGGGGGTAACAAAACCCAACGGCCAGGGTGAAGGCAGAGAGGGAAGTAAACACAGGTAGATCAAAGGACGCCAGGATCCAACTCAACACTTACTTTGGAGTTTGTGTCAGCGAATCGAGCACATTGCGGGAAGAGGAAAATGGGTGAGGAAGTGGGAGTGCAGTGAGTTTGGAGCGAGGATTT